AGTCGGGATTAGGCTTTTTAACACTTTCCATGATTTAAGTTCTAAGCCCATTTTTTCAGCATTCAAATACACTTTTTTGCCTTCTCTGACTAAGCATTTAATACAAATGAGTACTGTACAACAGGTATTGAGTGACTGCTGAGTGGATTAAGAACTGACTGACTGATAGGTGTCAAAAAGCAGCTGTCAGCTCTGAAGGAAAGCTCTGGACTCAGTTTGCAGAAATGGGTGTTATGCTTGGCAGGCCCCAGGACTGCCCTTAATGACTGAGAGACAAGTACATCCCTAGCTAAACAATGCTTAGTAAATTAGGGAGGAAATTAAAAAAATTGGTGGAATGATAAATAAATTGTGAAGATGGAGCAGCCCAAATTCCGTAAGCAGGACCTCTGCAGAAAAGAATCTTAAATCATGCACAAATAATGTCTGTATTGATGCAATAGAAATCGTATCCCAAGGGTGGTGCTTGAAGAGTCCACGGTATCACTGCAGGGAAGCAATTGGACACAGGACTTGATCTGATGGTTTGGAAGAGGAATAACAACCTCTCTGAACAAGTTAGCAGGGATATGTGAGTTGACTTATGTGGCTGGGGTGTGTTGCAGCACAGTGGGTGCTAGAAATCTGAAAAAGGGTGGGAGAAAAAGTACAAGAACTGCTTGCAGATTCGAAAGTACGTTTTGTTTCCCTTACCAAAATGAGATGACTGGATTACAGTGTATAATTACCTTCACAACAAGAAAAAAAAAAGTGTCTTGCATCAGATGAATATATTACAAGAATCAGTGGGTGGAAATATAAGCCAAGTAAATTTAAGCAAGCGTCGAGGCTTGGATTTGTAGCAGTAAGTGTGATGAACTGCTGAAACAAACTGCCCAAGAAAGCAATTGTGTACATATCAAAATTGAATCCCTTTCTGGAAAACATATGTCAGCCAAGCAGAAATTTTGGACTCTGTATATAGGAAATCAGGTAACGGACATTTCTGACCTCAAAGGTCATAAATCAAGGACAATGTCTTTAATATTTTACTTATTTAATAACTTTAATATTTTAGGCCAAGTTTTGTTTGTTTCTTACAGCTAAGTCATCCAACTAATCCCAAGAAAACACTGAGACAAATAGTATCAGGAACGGCAAGTAGTATGGTCTTGTAAAAAGTAAAACCTATTAAATATGCCTTTCTTGTTAATAAGCAACATATCAATTCTATATATCACAGATTTGGGGGCCAAGGTTGTAGGCTGTGGCCAGGATGCTCCAAGCTGGCACTCAGCAAGCAAGGCAGTATGCTCAGGGAGTGAACTGAGAGATACACAGCATGATGGGAGTGTGGGTGAGTGCTCTATGGAGCACTGAATGTGTCATTTGACACGGTTTCAGGTATTCGTGTTGAGAGAAAGAACTTCCATTGTTTTGGCGGAGAACACTGCTGTGTAGACTAAAATGGGAGAAAGAATGTAAACAAAGAGCAATGATCAATTGTTGTAGCTTGTGGAAATGTCTTACAGGTCATGTCAGGGACTTTTGTCACACATTGTTCTATTTAGTATCTGTATGATAACCTCAAAGTAGAGGTAAACAGCAAAATAGTGAAATGTGGTGATGATACTAAACCAGGAAAGAATGTAAACAGAAGAAAGCAGATAATGATATCAAAGGAATGGGAGATACTAGAAAGCTAAGCACAGAATCGCTCAAACAATTCACAATTAAAAAAAATAGAAAACAAACACTAGGATATATTGGAATGTACATGTCTTGGCCATTAGTATTTTTATTTCTGATAGAGTTTCAAGGTATAGTGAAGAGAAGACCAGATGGGACAGAGGTATGAATTTGCACAGTTATGAAAGCTGTGCATATACAGATACGTACCATCAAGCAGGGAGGTAAGAATGCCTGTGTAAAAGATCTGTGCTATTACATTCAACTCTGTGTTCAATATTGCCAGCCACTGACTGACTGGAAGGCTTTGGAAGAAATCCCACAACGATTGAAAGGCTGGAAAAAACACTTGGGGGAAAGACTCAGGCTCAAACCAAACATCTCATTAAGCATAAACTTAACCTAAAGTGTATGAGCTGTGCTGCAGATTTACAACTCCCTTTACAGCCCTGCTAGGTGGCTTTAACAAAGGAACTACATATCAGGTTAAACAGTGCACATGTTAAAGCACTTCATCAGCCTGGAGCAGGAAGGGGTTTGGTTAGATCTGAGAGGAAACATGATCAAAATCTGTGAGTCCTTGGCCACCAAAAGGTGCATACTGGCTGCATCAAAATCACCAGGCAGTCGTTTATTACCATAAGGCATGGAAAAGGTCTGTGAAGTCTTAAACCAGCCAACATTATATACCAGGGAGAGAGGATGGCACTGAAATCATGCCTTTTTTGTGTTTTTTCTTTTAGGTTGAAAATTGGAAGGCTGTGAGATGGTCTTTCAAGAGTTCATATTGTTGGGGGTTTAGGATAGGTTTGAGTAAAGCACTAGAGAATGTACGTCTTTACATTGGAAGACTCAGTGTTCTTCCCTATCCCAAGAATTCCTACAGTTACCACAGAACCTTCACAATTCAAGGTGGGAGGAACAGTTCCCTTCTGAGCTCTGAAATAATCTCTGTGACTCTTCATAAAACAGTTACTGTGCGGCTGAATTCCTGATGCTGGTTTTCAAACCAAAGAAAATTAATCTTTAAAGAATAGGGCTGTGGAATGCTGAACTGGAATCACAGATATGGTGGGAATATCTCTCCTGTGTAACCATTTATTGTGCTTATAACTGAGAATTATCTGAAGTAGAGAGCAGTTTGTTCTCCAAGAATGGTATTTTGGGGGAGTTAGCACTCAGTGCTTTTGGAAAGTCAAGAGGAGGTGAATACTCATCTCCTTAGACTCCTAACCATTGGCACAGACTGAGAAGGGGTTTTTTATAAAATTTCAGTCAGAAATAGTGGGGGAAAAACCTCTCTTCTGGAAAAAATTAACACTTCAGTGTTTTGCTTAAATAATGATTCTAGGCTTATAATACTGTAAGTATCACATGATTTTATAGCTAGTATTAGCAAATCACTGCAGATTTAATTTCATCATTCAGAAATAAATTAGGGAAGAAAGTGTTGACTTTGGTAGGGATTTAGTCCTGGAAAATTAGCAGGCACTTTTCTGGGCTTTACTAGTCAATACCCACAAGAATTTAATAAAACCCTTGCATAGATTATGAAATAAGTAACAGGGAAAGACCAAATGAGTGATGATTAGGGCAGAGCTTCCCTTTAAAAGTCTTGATCGAACAAATTTTTCAAAGTCAGGTTTCTCATCAGAGGATTGAAGTCAGGATATAGGGTTAAATTATTCACATGAATGAGTATCTACAGATCTTTCTCCTTTTTCTTTCTCACTAACCTTTACAGTCCAGTTTTATGTTGTACTGCTTTATTAATACCTTAGTGCTTTTCCTCTCCCAAAAGGATGTCTCTATAAGATCTTTATGTGCCAAACTCACAACCTGCTGCTCTCTTCATGCATTTGCCTAGTTTTAACATTCAGCACTCAGTCCCCTTTGGATATTGAGTTGCTGCAGCAGTTGTTAAATATTTTATGTGTAGTACAATACAAAAGCTACCAAAAGAGGGCAACATATGAGCCAACAATAAGAAATGCATTCTGACAAGTTTACGGTTGTGTATTTGTGACATCCTCCCCCCTTTTTTTTTGATAGAGAAAAAAATTTTAGCAGAGCTGGTCAGTAAACAGAATTTCCATCCTATGGGAAATTCCAACACTTGGGGAAAAAGAGAAGGTGGTGAAGTTTTCAGGGACTGAGAATTCCAAGAGAATATATTTGGCATGGTGGAAGTGTTCCGTAAGTGTCAAATCATTCTCACACCAGAAAACCCGAAAGTTATAATGACATTAAAATATTCAATTTAGTAGGAGAAATGCTAAATATGTGAAAGCTATATAAAGTTCAAAACAAGATTAAACAAAACAAGGAACTACTTATATGTTTTCACTTTATGGAAAACAATAATTTAAATATAATTTACTGTAAATAATATTTTAATTTGTCTCCATTAAAAATGTTGTCAAAATAAGTATGCTTTCAAAAAAGCAAGCTGATTAAGATGAAGTTGTATTTCCTTGAAGAACATTTCCTCTGAACATGGTTTAATTATCTTTTCTCTTCATGAAATGCCTGTGAGAATTTCAGAATACTCTTAATAACCCTGCAAGAGACTAAGGTAAATTGGCTGCATCCCAGAACTGTCCCCAGTGCTCTGTTTGTGAAGTGAGACAACGCCAAGTGCCCAAACACCAGGTGTGTGAGCTCTGGAGCTATTATGCCCTGGACAACACTGAATGTGCACTCATTGCCAAACAGTTTATTATAAACAAAGGGTTTTTTAAACTATTCCATAGCACTCCAAGGAATTAGACGGTCTTGAACACGTGCCAGCATGGCAATGGGTACAATAAGCAAATATAATCTACCTCACTTAGGGTAAATATTTAGCTACAAATGTATTGAGAGCTCTTTAATTCTTTGTACACTTCTGTGATGAGAACCAGAGGAAAGGCAGTGGCGATGCAAGGACTGGAGGGTGATTTTTTCTTCTCTTATCAGCTGCACAGATAGGCTAGCTGCCAGTCAAATTAAAAACCTCACTGGAGGAAATGAATGAAGACCTGTAGGTGTAGAAATCTGCTGTTTATACAGCTGCCTCAAGTTCTGCTAATGATCAACCAGAATCAGCCACATCTTCATGGAGATGTACAAAATTCTGTGGCAGTGTCCAGGAGGTTGACTATGGAAATCAGGGCATCCTCAATTTTTTTTCCCCATTTATTTTTTAAATCTCTTTTTTTTCCCAAAATTCTGCTTTCCGCCTGACTCTATTATGGTTTAGAATGCTGGAAAGTATCTGGAAAGGAAAAAGGGTCAGATCTGTGATCTACTTGGAGGGCAATGAAATATTTGGAAAGTTTGGAAGTACTCACCCATTCTGAAGACAGGATGTTCTGCTTGCAGGAGCAATACCTTATCTTCTCTCATTTACCCACGTCCTGCTTTTGCATCTGTATTTCTGCGGATCCCAAAAGAAAAGATTTATTCTTCCTAGCCAGAAACAAGCAGAGGTTTCTGTCTGGAGGGTTTCTGTACTGTCTGATCTATCTCATGAACAACGACTTCACATCATTCACCTGATGGAGGGCATCAGGATCACAGGATATCCAATGAGATGTTCAGTATAGGAATGACAGCAGTGCACATTGTCTGTGTGGCTGGATTGAGTGTATTGATTCTAATCACAAGGTGTTCAGACAGCTTCTGTATTCTGGATATGCGGGAAGATATTTATAGTTGTCTGCTTGCCCTTCATTTCTTGTACTGCTCATCTATTTTTGATTAATGTCTTGAAACCCTCTCCCAGGCAATGATGCTACTTTTGGGAGACAAACAAGGAACAGTATGGAAGGTAACAGAAATATTTTAATAGCATTGAAAGGTGTGGTTCATTATCTGTTTTTGTTTATTTGTAGGGAAAAAAGGTGGCTTGCATCCCTAAATAACCTTACCTCATGGGTATGAGCCTACATGTCTGACTGCCATCTTACATCGACACTTTACCCAGCAGCCCAGGGATGGGTGTTTATTCAGAAAAGAATTGGCCCATGCACACAGACACACTGATTCTCACAAATGGTTCTGTGTATGCCTTGGCTTCTCGACTTCTGCCAAATTCAAGCCTAAATTCTAGGAAGCAACAATAACACTAACAGGAATCGCGTCAGACTTGAAAGTGATTGCTTTAGCTCTGTGAACACAAAATGGACTTCTTTTTCTTCCTCAGAAGTGATTTTTAAACATGCCTTGGCTTCTCTGAGCCAGCATAGTTTCACCCTGCCAGTCAGGTTACGAAGACAAATCTGTTACCCCCTTTTGCAGATGTGGTATGTGAGCCTAGTTACATCACATTTTGAGGCAGATGGATCTCTGAAAGAAGCTCCACTATCCAATCATGTGCTTTCTGCCCCTTGCTATTGATTCTTGTGGTTAGTCTGTTTCTGATTTTATTTTTCTGTGTAGTTTAAGGGCAAGTCTGTGGTTTGCCCCATGCGCCCAAATGAGGGAGCAAGGGTGCAGAAGACTGCCTGAAAATAAATAAATCAGAAACAGATAGACTAATTACAAGGATACATGCCAAGGGATGGAGAACACACAGCACCCTCATGATCAGATATGCCTGGCCTGTTGGAGGAGGATGGATGTTTCACTGTGTGATGTAACCCTGCACCACATTGGAGAAGAGAGCCGGAGCGTCCTCTTCCTTGCCTGGCTGAGCAAAACCCTCTCGTGTGGTTTGCCCACACGGCATGTCCCAGCATGGGGAGGAACAGCTTCCCTGAGGTAAGGGTGGGGAGGAGCAAGGCTGAGAAATCAGAAGCTGCTCTTGCCTCCCCAGTGCCTGCCCCAACAGCCAGCAGGGCTAAGCTGACACGAGGAAGGATGTAATCTACTCCTGGTTGTTTCATGCTCAGGGCACGTTACTTCCTTCCACGGACTAAGAGGATAGTCATGGATGTCATCCTGACTCACGGTCTCCTGGGGCAGCATGGCTCTGTGCCATGCCTATAATCAGATGACCTGGGGGGTGAATTAGGAAGGCTTTTGATGTCATTCTCTGAGTGCTGCACCACAGGAGACAAAGACTTCTTAACGTAACATCAGGCTATATCTTAAACATAACCATGAAACTAACTTTGACTTGCCAGCAGCTGGTGCAGACAGTGGCCTCCCTACACCGCTCTGGCACTTAGCATAAGAAATGTCATTATGTGGGTGGATTAGGCAGAACCTGTCAAAGTTGTGTGCGTGTTCTTTGGCTGTGTTTCCCTCCCCAGGCTAATAATGCTGAAGAGATGGGGAGTGGGTTGACACATTTTCTGGCATGTGTCATGTAACCCAGTGAAGTGGAGGACATGCCAGTCACAAGACTTTTGTGCTTTAGTAAGGCACAGGCAGCAGGGACATGCTGCAGTGGCTAGCAGCCTTAATCCTCTCTGGATTCACACCCTTTTCACCTTCATCGTGGTTACAGCTTCCCCAGGGTTTTCTGACAGACCCACAGGTATGTTTGGAGGAAAAAGTAAGGAGAGGTATCCAGGCAGGTATTGTTTAAGCTCGTGTTACCTACAGACCCTGAAGCTCTTTGCAAGTTGGCTGACATGATTTCCATAAGAACCACTGAATTTAGCACAGGGGGAAATATTCATTGCTTGTTTTGCAGTGTGCAGAAATGTTCTGTACCAGTTCAGCAGAGGATACAAAGAATAACCATGCCTGATAAGAAGACATTTTTAGGATAGAAGACTCTAAAGCAAGATAACCAGGGACTGACGAAATTTACGACAGAGTCACTGTTTCTGGTTCCCTAATCAAGAGTGGGGGATGTTAATATAAATATTGGGCTGAGAGAACTCCCATGGTCTAGCACAATCCCAAGGTAAATAATTCTCAGGAGAATATGGAAGAACAGCGCATTCAGTCTCACAGAGAAGTTTTGTTTTGCACAGCTGCCTGCTTAACACCTGTGCTGAGAAGATGAAGTTTACTCCCTGGGCTGAGGCAACATGCCAGGTTGGTTCCTCACAAATCACCATCAGAGGAACAGAAGAAGGAATGAGCATGTAAGCCCTGTATGACAGAAATGCCATCTTCTGTCTCTGCCTGTGTGTTGCAAGCTGCGTTTGGTTGTTGGGAAAAGATCTATCAGCCTATAAGCCGACTGCATACCCCAAAACACACGGGCTGTAGGTCTGATGTGACTTGTAGCAGGCACAGCACCCAATTCAGTGGGAAGAGCTACTGTATTATTTTCCTTGAAGCTCATAGTATTAAAAAGAAAAAATGAGAGACAGTAGCTTCTGCAAGTAACTACAGCTGAACAACAACTACTACTCTGTTGCAGCATCTGAGCATCTGTAGGTCATCTGTTGCAGCATCTGTCAGGTCAAGAACTGCCATGCCCAGGTGCCACATTCTCATTCCATGTAAAAGTGAAGCGCAGCAACTGCATCAGTGGTAGAAATAACTTGGCAGGCACAGAGGCAACCTGTGGAGGGGAACTGCATGATAACCCCACGGGATGGGGGGTACCTCCTCCCTTCACTTGCTGGTGTTGAGTCACAGTGGGGGATTGTATTTAGGGATAACAGAAGGTGCCCCTTGGCTGTACCTCCTGCAAGCACGTCATTGGTGTGACGTGGGTGCTGCCCTGTGTCCCACACAGCTGGTCACCACTTAGTCACCTGGGGACAGGAACCTGAGGGACTGCAATGTCATGCTCTGAGGGATGTCCTATGCTGATTATGCCATAGGGGAGGCAGAGATAGAGGACAGTGATGAGATGGGAGATGACTCTGACAATTTACTTTTGCTTGTACTGCATAACACTTGTGAGAAGTTGAGAAAACCTGCATCAATGCAATGACTGACACAGAATTTGTATTGTCCCATGACCAGTGTGACCCTGCTCAGATTGCCAGACAACGTCACATCTCCAGTTGTGTAACACCACCATGCTCTCTAGATCTCAGGTCTTTAAACATTATTGAGCTGACTGTTTGTACCCTGTGGTGGGAATTCAAATACTGTTTATCAGTGGAAATGTTAACTACGTGTCCTTTGTTGGGAGTAAAGCAACCTGATTTCTCATACTTCTTCTGAAAGTAGGAACTCATTGGAGAGAAAAAATGTGTGTCAGCAGGGAAAAAGGAAGAGCTTTCATCGATGAGTACACAATGTGCAGGGTACAAAACAGTGTTTTGGTAGATACCAGTGTTTTGCAATTCAAGCATCACATGACTGGAAAAAAAATCCACGTCTGCCATGGTATTTTTCATTTACAAACAAATAAAAATTAAGTTAAACTCTGTTCATTTATTGCTTTAATTTCTCCCCACCTTGTTTGTTTCCTTATTTTCTTGTATGGTAATGCGTATGATGTTTTGTTCCTTGTTTGCTTTTATTTGAAATAATTTTGCATGTAATTTTCTGAACTCTTGCAGAGCAGAGAGACTAGTAAATGTGTATGTTTATGCACCTTTGTGCATGTACAAAGAATGATGGATAGTTAATAAAATGCACATCACTGCAATCCTTTCATGCTTAAGATCCCCAAACAGAAACTGTGAGTATTCAAATAAAATAGACCTGATCCAAAATGTATGTATTTAGCTTAGATAATAGCAGTCCCCAGATATGTGCCTCTTTCTGCAGTTGGAAATCTGTCAGTTGAACAAAGAGCAGGATATAGTGTGAATTAGGCTGTCCTAAAACCTTTATGTGATAGACACACTTTATGGAGTTAGTTCAATTTCTCTCACATTTCAAAAGCAGACTCAGAGCCTAGTTATCATGAAGACAAACTCCACAAAATCTTTTTTTTTGTACTCAAGGACTGCAATATTTTTTAAAAGTCAGAATACATGTTAAAAGAACAGTTTGTCCCAAGGCTTATGGTTCAGCTGAAGAAAGTTTCTTCTTGATCCATCCATCTGAAAAAATGTTCCTGAAAAGTCATTCTGCATAAGGGTGTTTTTGTTATTTTTTTCAGGGAGAAAAAGTATAAATGAGCTGTAAAGCTCGTGTTGTTCTGAACTCTTTCTCTCCTCTTTCACCATGAGTTCACCAAACAAAATTCCACAAGAAACAAATGTTATTATGAGATTAGCAGAATGAACGCCAGAGTTCAGATACTAAACATTTTTTTTAAAAAACAGTGAGCTTAATGACATGAAGGAAGTTGTAGTTTAAACATCAAGGTCAATTATTTCGTTAAATATTATTTAGAAGTTCCTTGCCTTGAAACAAAACCAGAGCTATCCCTCTCCCAAAAATGCAAACAGATTATACTGCCCTGTTTGTCAGCTTCACTAGATAACTTCTATTTGATCTTCAAATGAAAACAGTTTCTATTTCAGATTTATACAACAGGCTGCCTCTAAAAAGAAAATAACATCCCAAGGTTGGACTGCTGTTTGCTTTCCCTTCTAATCCTGTGAGAAGATTTGCATAAGAAAAGCAAGTAGATTTGAGTCTAGCTTTTGCTGTCTACATCGAAAGCACGAGCATCAGTCAGTCCTCTCTATTTAGTCAGACAGAAAATATTGATTTGTAAGTCAGGTGAGTAGAAAATCTTTCAGTCAGTTCAGCTGGGTTCTTCTAAAAGTAACAAGGACTACTTATTAAGACTAAGTGGTATTTAAGTAAATAATGATAACAGTCAAACACTGAGAGTTTAAAACCTCCCCCCCCCCCCCAGTTGCATGTCTGATTCCTCATACTGTATACTTGGTTTAAAACAACATCCAGAACTGGTGTTTCCTGGATCTTGCAAACCAGCTCCTTGTATTTGCAGATAGCCTTCTCTCAATTCCTAACAGCATCAGTGTCAGGGGCACTTCAGTGATCAGAGCAGTGCTGGGTGGTGCTGGCAGCTCTGGGTCTCAGGACCAAGCAAGTGCCCCCAGCTCCAAGTGTGACCCCTGGAGCAAACCAGTTCACTCTGTAGAATGGGAATAGGGACTCATACCTACAAGAGTGCTGTGAAGCAGAGTAATTTTATGTGTGCAACGTACTTGAAAAATTTTTTTTTGGTGTATAGAAAGGCAAATTATTATTTTTTAAGAAGAGTATTAGAAGGGATATTTTGGATCATGGGGTCAAGTTCCTTGCTGTGGGTGGTAACCACATCTCAGAAGCTGGTTCTCAAACCAGTCAAATTCCATCTTCCAGGTGCTTTGATTCCTTCCTGACTGCGGAAGGCCTTTTTGGGTCCTCACCACTCTGGTGGAGTGAAAGTGCTTTTCTTTTTCCATCTTGAATCCCTTCCGGTACAGTTTGTACCAATTCTTTCTCATATTTTATTTGGGAGAAGGGGAGGGAAACTGTCTCACAATTTTCAGATTCATTTGAATTTTTCTCTGAGCCCCAGACACCTGGTGGAAAGATGCCAGCAATGCTGTAGGCTGGTTAGATGTACCAATAAAAATAAAATTAAATTAAAAGCCCCCCCCAACCCGCGTGTAAGAAAAGCGCCATTCTTAGAAAGCCTCCAGCGTTCCAGCTAGAGCACAAACAGCTGCTTATTTAGGACTCTTCTCGGGTAAATCCACAGTCCCGGGCCAACGGGGCCGCAGCTCTTGTGGTCTCGCATCAGCCCAGACCCCCCCGGTGGGGAACACACAGGGGAGAAGGGAAGGAACGAGCAGGGAGAGGGAACCATCCTCAAACCGCGGCTGAAACTTCTCCTGAGGAGGGCCGACGCTCCGCTGGGTCGAACTAAGGAGGAGAAGCCCTCGGGGGACTCGGGGCCCCGCCCGGGTTCGGCCCCGCGCCCCCCGCCCGCCCCGCGGGGCTCAGCCCCGGGCTCCGCCGCCCGGAGGAGGCAGGGGGCTCGCCGGGGAGGGAGAGCGCTGTTTTGCCCCTTCGCTCGGGTTTTCCCCTGCCCAGGGAACAAGCGCCTTTGTTGGAGCTGCGCTCCCCAGGGCTGGGGGTGATTTTTCGTTTTGTGGTTTTGACCTTTCTCCTCCGCTGCCTCCCGCAGGCCCGTCCCCGCAGCGGCGGCCCCGAGGGCGGTCGGGGCAGCGCGCCGCCGCCTGTCCCCGGCAGAGCCTCGGGCAGGACGAGCAGCAGCCTGTGGGGCTGAAACGGCGGCGAGCGGGAGGCATCGGGAGCACTTCGCCGCGGTGTGGGACAGAGGCAGCGGTCCGTGTCCCTCGGGCACCCCTGTCCCTGCTTCCCATGGCGAAGGCAGCGTGTGCCCCCGTGGAAATGCGCCGCTGCACGCGGGGCACGGGCTGGAGCCAGGGCCAGGTGTGCCATCGGGAAATACCACCTCCAGCCGCGGACCCAAGAGCTTCCAAGCCATGGCTGCACGGGGAGCAAAGAGCCCGTCCCCATCCCCCCTTCGACAACCACAGCCCCCGCAGCGTCCATCCAAACCCAGTAAGGCTGAAGCAGCAGCCACCAAACACCCTCGAAAAGAGCCTGCCGGACCTCTGAAACCCCAAAGAAAACCGAACACCAAAGTGGAAGCGAGCCAACAGGCCCACCAACGAGCCCCCCCGAATTGTGGGGGAGCCGGTGGGCACGGCCAGCACAAGCGCAGCGCTGCCAGCCCGTGGCTGCCCGCAGGGGGCCCGGCGCCCGGGGGACCACCCTCACCCTCCAACGCCGACTGCTGGTTCCTAATTCCTACGAATTCAACCACATTCCCCCAGGGATAACGGGGGCGGGATGGGGTTTAACCCCCGAGTACAATTGCAGCGAAACCACAAGGAAACAGGCGCAGGTGAAGGGCAGAGCGCGCTCGCTGCCGTGTTGCTGCCGCAAAACTTGCGGGGGATCGGGGCGCCCCACACAACGATGGGCAGGAAAGGGAGAGCCGAGCCCGAGGGCTCCGAGCGCGGACAGAGGAGCCGAAGAAGACGGGCTTTTCCCGGGAAGCGGGGCGGGAGCGGCCGGCTGTGCGGGACCAGCCCCCGGTGCGCACCTTCCGCCCCCGCGCAGCTCCGCGGACCTGCACGGCTTTTACACGGGCGAGCGCGCCTGGCCGGCTCACATCGAGCAAGAGCTTTCCGGGAACAGGCTACTAAGAGCACCGAGAGCAGGCGGGGGAGGGTGGGTATGAAATAAAAGGCTAAAGAAACAGTGCGATTTTGGGACCAGGACCAAATCCTAACGTGTTACATAAAAGCCACGGGCGGTTCTTATCAGCAAGCCCGGCCTAAAGAGGAACAATCCCCAGGACCGGCTCCAAAACAACCCTGTTAAAGGAACAATTGTGAAATGCCAACTTCCCACCAGCGTACGAACAGCAGGAGCCGGGCATGTCCTGTCTATAACCGGGCTTCTGACAAGCGACAGAGAGGGGAGGGGACGGAGGGGGATCCTCTCTTGACAAGATTTATCAAGAAACATTTAACTGGGCTTTAATCATATTAGCAAGAGCCCAATTAGGGCTGAGAGCGAAGCGAGGCTGGGGAGAGGAGGAGGAGCAAGCGACGGAGTCACTCGAGGATAAAGTCCTTTCATCAGGCTGCGCTCTCGGCAAACAGAGGAGTGCGAATAATCAGTGCCCTTCACTGGGGGGACGGGGGAGGGAGCGGCTGGGGAATGTGTGTAAAGGATCATTAAGGCCAGGCAGAAGGGGGTTTTTGTTGTTGTTGTTGTTTTTAATTATTACGGCTATTAAGGTGGTGTCTGTGGGCTCCCTCGGGCGCTGTTCTCAGAGACGGAGCTGGGAAGAAGCGAAGGGGTTCGGAGGCACCTGCTGCACTGCGATGACCTGATCTGCGTGTGCGGATAGGTCTCTCCCTCCCGGAGCAAAGAGGGGCTCCGTCCCTCCCACCCGACCTCACATCACCGAGGGAGAATTTCCTTAAAAGCCCTTTTCCCGGCTCTCGTCTCGCTGATGTCTCTTCCCCGGCGCATCCTACCTCCCAGCGCGGCTCCTCGGGGGGAGCTCGGCGCCCCACTGCCCCCGGCGGAGCCCAGTCCGGTGCCCGGGGCTCGTCGAGAGCCCCGCGGAAAGCTCGGCGCTGGGAACGCCCGGGTCGGGGGCAGAGGGCAGAAGATGTCCTCCCGGGGTTCAAACTCTCCGTGCTTTCGCGTGGGCAACCTGCCTTGTCCTTAGGGACTCGGTCGCTCCAGCTGTAGGGGATGGGGTGGGCGGACAGCAAAGAAATGAAGAAAAACTAGAGATGACAGGTGGGAGCAAAGGAAGAGGCTGTGGATAAGCCCATGAACCCCTCTCCCCGGGTTACGCCACCTCGGGACACGGCGGTGGGAGCGCGGCAGCGGCCGTGACCCTGCTTGCGGCTTTCGAGACATCGCCAGCAGCTGCCGGCAGCTGCCCCGATTTCCTGCCGCTCCCCGCGGCCGGGAGAAGGGAGATAAGGCTGTTGGGCAACGAGGCACCTTTCGCCCCAGAGGAGCCGGATCTTTGCGCCGCGGGGCAGAGGATGCTGTCTTTTTCTTTTTTTCAACAGGACAGGGCCCGGGTGGCGTTTGCCATTCGCACCGACGGGCATCCCCGCTGTCGGAAGCCATCTGACCCGTGCCTAGAGCGGAGGGGCTTTCGCCCCCCACGCCCCCCTCCGCCTCCTCCCCTCGCCCTGGGCAGCCACAGCCACGTCCTCGGGGACGCGGGGCCCTGGGGGCAGCGCCTCCCCCCGCACCGTGCCTTTTGCGTGACCGTGCCCCCGCCGCACCTTCCCTGTCCCACGCTTACCTTTCCGGCCCGGCCGCCGAGGGGCTGCCCCCCCGCTCCCGCCCCCCGCCCCGTCTCCGCCATCCCCGCCGCAGGGGTGTCGCACGCCGCCGCGCCGGCACAGCCTCGGCTCTCGCCTTGCGCGCACTCGGCTGGCGCTGGCAGCCCCGCCGGGTTCATCCGAGGACAGCGGCGGCTCCGCGCCGCGGCTCGTCTGGCTGCCAACGCCGCGGCGAGGCTGACGCTGCCGCGGCCGGGGGTGACTCACGGCGGCAGCCGCCGGGTAGCGGATCCGGCAGTCGAGCGGCGAGCGGGCACATCGGGCCCCGCTCTTCACCCCCTTCCCCGGGCACCGCGTGCCGCCCGTCGCACCCATGCCCCCTCCCCGACCCCCCGCGCTTCTGCCAAGTGGAATAAACGCCCGGGTTTCCGGCAAATATTCACCCTTCCGACACCGAACGGGAGGCCGCCCCCCTCCCGGCCGGACCCCTGTCGGAGCGGGCCGGGGTCGGTCCCCGCGGCCGGCAGCGCTCCCGGCGGCACCCGCCCCCAACGTAAGTGACCGTCGGGGCCGGGAGGGGGTGGCCGTCCCTCGCGGCCCGTGCCCGAGGGGCCGCGCTCCGGAGCCTGGGCTTGAGCGGGCGGGCGGGCCGGGGCCGGGCCGAGCCCCGGCCGTGTGCCCCGAGCGAGCCCCGGCCGAGCGCCCCGCGCCGTCCCCGAGGTGCGCCCGGCGTGTGCCCAGGGCACAGCCGCCCGGCCGCGCACGGACAAAGGCAAACACTGAACCCTAACGCGCGGCGGGGAGGGGACGCGGGGCACAGCCAGGGACGGGGACGCGGAGTCCGAGTGACGGGCAGCGGTGTCATCACCGCTGTGCTCTGCCCCGTTCAGCAAACACGCAGCAGGGTTTTAGCTGCCTGCGGTTTCCATGGAGCCCTCCTGGCACGTCCCAGCAAGAACGTATGGCGGATGTCTTCATGGTGAGCCTGCAGCGGGTCTCCCACTTCTCAGAGCTCCCAGGTGGAGTGTTTTCAGATCCTTTACACTGCGTGGCTCAGCACCAGCAGTGCTTTTGAGAAACATGCCTCGTGCATGACATCCCTGTTTTGAAACAGAGTTTTGAAGTGAAGCTGTAGCAACACACATCTTTCTGTCCAAGCTGTCTGCTGGATGCACAGTTTAAAAAGCAGTGGCTCCCTGAAATCAGATTATTAAAAGCTCATTTATTAAGAAGCTGAAGGCACAAAGGTAATGGTAATGAGTATTTCACACTCTGCATACACGCTCAAGTTTTGGATAGAGGGTGAAGGCATGAAGTCAGGCCTGTACTTAAAAATACTCTAAAGCTACTTGTCAGAAATGTGCTAAAATGATAAGCCGTGGATTTAGTGGCATGGATTATGCTGTCAGTCCTTCTACCTTAAGTTCATTTTTAAGTCCAAATTTCAGCCCTTTGAGAAAAGATAGGCAGAGGAAGAGGAGGAGGAGGAGGAGGAGGAGGAGGAGGAAGAGACTATTTTAATTGAAATGCTGACATTGCTAACCATGGCAGTGTGAATTCACTACTATAATAAAACCTCAGCTAGCAGCCTAATTCCAGAGAGGTGATGTTATCCAGTAATAATGTAATCAGTTTGTTGGCTGTAACATAGGAAACTGGGAATTACTTTATTTTATTGATATTTTTGGCCAAAATGTAAGAAAAAAAAATCAATAAGATGCCAGGGTTGAGGCAGGAGAGCTACCTTTGCTATTTAAAATAACAAACCAAAGTTCTTCATGAACATTTTTCACTTCAGTGCAGTTTTACAAAAGCATACTTAAAAAGGGACAGCTAGTGAGAATGCAAGCTCTCAAGCTAGGAATTGGAATACAGAAAGGCCCAAGGGTGTAACATTGTTAAAAGTGAGAGGTCCTGAAAGCACAGTGTTCACTTTACAAAATAGAAGTTTTCTCCTGGGTAATCGCTGAATGAGTTTGCATTGATTTGCAGCTGTGAATTTAAAAGAAAAAAAGGGAAAGAAAATAAATGAAGAAGAGAAATTCCTTGTTAGTAAATTGTGAGGAACAATTAAGAAAATTGTGGCAGATATATGAAAAATTGGAATTGACTGCTTAAGCTTTTGAGTTTATATATTCAGGATTCTCCATCCCTCATATCTCTCTTTAATACTTGTTTTTAAGGAGTAAACATTCTGATAATTTTATAGCCATCTGACTCTCAAATTACAAATAAAAGCAGAAGTGAATTAACTTGTAAGGTGCATGTACCAGTGGAACTGTAGCTTTCAGAGAGGGTTAGTCAGTGTTGCTAGTGAGATCAGAATTTCAGCCACTGTGAAGGTTTTGTTGTTGCAGAAAATTGCAAGGATAGACCATATTATACCTCTAATTCAGGTTTAGATTTTGCTGTTGCTGTTGACGGTGTTCTGCCTCTTTCACCTTAACCAAAATTCACTGTGGTCAGTGGGACTCTTTGGGTTGGGGCCATGAATTCTTTGAAGGAGCAAATCTTAAGTTTCTCCATGCTGCTAGGAAGCCTAGTAGTATCAAGACAAAGACATATGAAAGTATGTGAAGACAATGAAAACAGAGTAATGAGTATAGCCAAATCATAACTGCCATTTTAACAGAGTGGCTTGTAAATAACAGAGCCCTACAAGAATACTTGGGTGTGTCTGAGTCAACCCATTTTGAAAACCCTACGATGCAGCTGCAGAAACAACACAAATTCTTGAAAAACAAAACTTGAAATGTCTTGAAAGTCACGTTTCCAAAAACAAGTGCTGTTCTGCATATAGATACATCACATGTTGCCCAGTAGCTCTTAAAAAGTAGGCTAAAACTGCTACATTGACTGCCTTGTTCATCTGATCCACTTAAGGTAACATTAACCCTCATTTAAAACTTGCATTCAACAAAGCATTATTATATGTATTGCAGTGATTTGTGAATGTGTATAGTCTGGGCTGTGGTTGGCATTCAGTGTCAGGCTTAAATCCAAAAACATACAAGTTAATTTGCACTACATGACCATTGGCACTACAGAGTAATGAATTGGAAAAGGTATTTTGAGAATATTTTTCAACGCTGCCCTTATACACTTGCTTGAAGCCAGAAAATAGACATGATATAATGATAGTTATTTTGGCTTTATTGTGGAAGATAATGCCAGCTTGTGACTACTGACTGGATGTGAAAAAAACAACTTTATGGCTATATGGATTGGATGTGGTATGTCAGTAGTCATAGAGGGTACTAATGGAAGCATTGTGAATTAGTTCTGTGAAAAGATTCAAGTGACAATTAATTACTGTTTCTCTCAAATACAAAATGAGAAGGCATTGAAAAATTAATTGAGGAAATTTATGTATGGATGTGAAGCATGGTAGTTTGGGTGCCAGCTGCCACACAGGAAATTCCCAAACCACTAACTGATGGCAATTTTGAGAACTTAACAGGTTAGGTTCCAAACAGTGTTTTCAGTTTGGGCTTTTTTTTTTGTTATTAGGGTATGAGAGAGAGATTACACTAGCCCAGTAGAGACATTTTTGCTTTCTTGGTGCATTGTTCTTGAAGTCTTACCTCCTTCGTCATTGCTCACAATTGCTTAGCTTTTTATTTTTGATCCAAAATGTCACTTTTTTAATTGAGAGACTGAGTATGATAGTGTGGAGGTGGGTCCTCGTGTATGCAGGAGGCAGAGAAGCAAGTGAAAGAGGAAAAGGGAAAGAAGAGGGAGTTTGGAGGGCACAGAAGGAAGATGGGAAATGTGAGGTTTGCATTGGAATGACTGATGATGGGATGGGAGAGGAGGAGACCAGACCACTGACTGTGGAGACAGCTGTGTTCAGAGTTTGTTATTTGATCAAACTACTCCTTATTTAACATGCCCTGCATTTCTCAGTGGGGATACAGCTTGGAATCTGTGTGAAATGGTGAAAGATTGAGAAAGTAAAGACAGAATGAAAAAGCAAGAGACAATTCCCTAATTTGTTTCTTTTGCATTTCTAAAGTCTGCCTAGCCCACACATCGGGTAGGGTATGCTTAGAATCTTGGAAGAAAAAATAAGCTGCAGCTGGAACAAAGTTGGAAATAAATTCCAGTAATTTTAAAGATGATAGAAAATATCTGACCAGTCTTTCTCCCTCCTCCCTCCAGAAGGTCCAACAAAATCATCTACTCCATGGCAAATGCCTGACAACAACACGGTATGTGTATCTACTCTGAAATCAGAGTTCAGGGTATATATATGTAATTGCAACTCATATTTTGTTCTTCTGATATTGTTTACCTGGAACTTTCACACTGCCATATTTTTTACTTTCTTTTTCACTCAGTTTGCTTCTTTGCTTTTGGGACAGAAAATCCCTCATGCAGTGTGGTCCAGGTTATACTGAACCACGGATGTCTCATGCAGAGCAGTATCTTATTCCACACATGACTTACTCATGTTTCAAAAGTAGGGTGAGTAATGGGTGCTGGAATTTAGCTCTATACTGAATTTTGCATCTGGGGTTTCTGTAATAGGTTCATGAAGTTCACAGACTACTGCTAGTAATTTCTTAAATTTTTTACCTCCCATTCCTGCCTTTCCCCCCCATTTCTCCAGAGGCTTTATGTGGTCCTGGAGGATGTTACAACTTTGCAAAATGATGCAGAACTATATCAAAATGCTCCAAGCACAGAATAAGCACACAAGGTGCATTTGTGCTGCAGAAATACCAGGTTTTGACTGGGCATGATCCCATATAGCTGTAGGGTCAGTATTTCATCTTTACCAGCAGAAAGGTTTGCAGTGACTGCATGTCTTAGGGTTGTCCTCAATGTGCCTAGAAGGCAAGCAGTGCTGGACTATTTACATTGCAAGTGGGATGATTGAGATGGTGCCCTGCAACGTCATCCTTGGATACATGGAGAGAAAACTGATGTGCCTGTGATGCTCTCAAGTACATTCTATACGCCTCCAAGTACAAGGGCAATTTTGAATTTAGAAAGAAGCTCTCCAACGTGCTAAGCTGCTGATGTAGCACTTGCAGTGAGAAATATACTGGTCCAGATAGAACTCTTGGGAGTACACTCAGGTCAGACAAAGTGGGTCTCAGAAGGAGATGCAAAACAAGCAAACAAACAGACAAACAGAAGTGTTCAAACACACAAACAAATTATTATTTGATCTGGAAACAGAACAGAGGTGTTGCCGGTAGCTGCACTTTGTTCAAACTTCATTTGAGCTTGTGATGTAACTTTAGTTAGTGTTAGCCTCATGTCAGACTCTGGACTGTGGGTTTTCTTACTGATGATTCTGCAGCCTCTCAGGCTCCTGGGGCTACTGTGCAAGGGTCTGTTTGCTCAGAGATAGCTATTCAGTGCAAAGAGGTGGTGACAGAAGTTGCTGTTAATTGTTGCCGTATGGTTGAAGGCTGGGGGCTGCTGTGCAAACAAGTCTCCTCTGCTCTGCTCCAGTTCAAAGTTAAGCCACCTAGATGAAACTAGGGAAAAGTG